GTGTGGACCAGCTCATATACGGTAAGTATTTTGCTTCTCCCCTAAAGGCCATTTTCCACTATAGACGAATTCATTCGCGCACATCGAGCATATTCGTCTATACGCATTCGCAGAATAATTTTCATCACGAGATTCTCAATTGCGCATGCTTAATGGGTAAACATTTTGGATTCGCGAGAATAAGTTCGCTTAGCGGAAAACGGCTTTTAGGATATCTCTGTATCAGACCTACCCGGTAAACCAGGACCAGCTACTCTCGTCTGTCCACCACAAATAACCATATATGAGCAGGTTAAAGTTATTTACCAAACCAAACTTGATAGTGCATACGACAGACTTAAGTTCTCTGGTTTGTTTTGCTTGCTTGCTTAATTGTTTTAGTTAGATACTCCCATTACTTGAGCACCTGTGAGTAATGAATAGGCGGGCCCTGTGCCTTAAATTGCCTGTAAACGGTGCGGTGATGGTGTGGTGTTTCTTTTCTTGTAGCTTTAGGTTCTTGGTAATTTTTTGTTCCTTCCTGTAGCGCCTTGAGCACTACTGCAGTGGATTAGTGCGCTTTATAAATCTTATTATTATTATTATTATTATTATTATAATTATTATTATTATTATTATTAAGTCTATATAACATTAATGTAGATTTAAAAAGACAATAGGAATGAACTGGGTTCTATAAATTTAGTACAACGTGATCCAAGAGGAAACAAACTATTTTGCTTCAAAACTATTAAGGAATGTGTTTTAAAACATGGTTGTTATTATAAAACTTGGTTTTGTGAAAGAGAGAGTGTCGTTTGTCTAACGGTGGCCGGAGTATCTATGTCATACAAGTGCTAACTATATAGGCCAACATCAATATTTGTCATAATTGTGTATTTCAAGTATGTTAATATGGCACTGAATGAACATTATTGCCTAAAACCAGACTGGAAATTATTAATGAGATGATTGTTATTCATAATATCCAACTAACAGTTTGTCAATAATACTTCCAAATGTCTTACGAAACAAGAGAATTGTAATTCTTAGAGTGGCGTGTCAAGTTTTTTCTATGAAGCCCTGTCCAGAATATCAAATTTTCTTTGACAAGAAACTGTTGTATGCCCATATATAGTCATGATGTGCCTATATATGACATCACATCATGACAATTTTTAGGCGTGTCACATGTTGTTGTCAAACAAAATTTGAAAGTTTGGACAAGGCTTTAGTTTTCAACCTCAATGTTGGTATATGTCGTGTTTACATTCATTAATTTTAATGAGTGTGTGTTAACATTATTTTGTAGATTTATTTGTAAGAAAATATAATATCAATTGTGAGGGTGTTATTAATTTAGTACCTACTATCCCCTCTTTATTTCATCAAATCATTTAAATAAATTGGTTATACATAGTTACACCAGGTGAAGATAATGTCACCATATTGTAATTTTAAAGCAAATATGTTTCAAAAGGTTAACGTATAAGTATTATAGAATGTATGACTATACTAGCAAATAACTTCATGGCGAAAACCATGCATAAACAAACGTATGAATTTACAAAATATCTTTCATTAATCAAGAAGGAAGAAGAAAAACTATAGCAATATAGTACATTTTGACTTATGTGCATGGTTTATAGACAAAATATAAAAAAAATTATGTTAAAGATATTTGAAACAATGTGGTATAAAAATGATTTATGAAATACAACTTATATTATGTGATCTTCAATTTACGAATAAATGTGCGACGATCCCACAAAAGAGAGAAAAAGAATTGGTTCAAAGGTTTGAACTTAAATTAATAATGGAAGGCAGTGAACACCTGAAAGTGTACGAATCCAAATCTGGAGATACAGGTGCTAGCAATATTTTTAATGTTAATCCTTGAAATATTTTTATATATATAAGCCTAATACAGCTTGTAATTTTACTTCAGGAAATACCGTAGCGTTTTCAATGGGTTTAATATTGAAACGAAATTATTATATCAATAAAATCCATTAAAAAATGTCAAGGGTTGCCTTCAATGTCATTGTAAGTTATGTTGTATTTGAAAACCATTATCAACAATAGTTAACCAAATTACACAACTAATTAGTAACAAAATTGAGAAGATGCATCATCAAAACATGACATGCGCATCAATCAATCATTATTTGATGATCTACGTATATTTAATTGAAGCATGAGACGCTGGGTATCTAAAATGACCTTTCATCTTCGTCAATCGAGGGGGCTTACTTGTAGTCTTCTTGATTATTATTATTATTATTATTATTTTTATTATTACTATTATTATTAAACACTATATATATATATATATATATATATAAATAATAATAATAATATACAATGATGTTAATTATGAGACTAGTATTAAGAAATGAATATTGTAGGTCTTTTCCATAGGGAACTTTCGATCACTACGCGATGGGACGTAAGACGCAATGACGTTAAAATGTGCATGCGACGGTTCTCCCCTCGTCGCGTGATTTAAGACGCAATTTCACCAAATCTATGTTGTGCCAAGGGGTTGTACAGAAGCGTAGAACGGTTACGCATGAGTGTTCCGTTCTAGCGTCGCGTCGTCACGCAAATCTAAAACTCTCTACTGTAGGCCTACGGGATATTACTGTATTGTGACGGGTGTAGCACAGACACTCAGTGTTTTCAAATGTTTTGAGTTTCAGAATAACCAAACTGCCTGTGTCATTAAGTAGGAGGCAATTATTTGCTCAGTATTTGCTTTATTTTATTTTGTGTACTTTATCTCTGACACATTCAACGGCATTATATGTTCGCCAAGGTATTGAATTTTGCTTTACAAACAATAATTAGGCCTACAGGAGAATAGCTTAATGTCTTCCCTCAGTTGAACCTTTTATTAGAAACCCCATAATCAATGAAGTGGCTGGTTTAATCTAGTTATTCAAATGGAACCAATTGCGTCGAGCAAAATATCAATCATACTGTATCATGTAAGTATCTAGTTTCAATGAAATTGTTTAAGAGATTTTTATTTAAAGATTGTTTTTCTAATAAGCGTATTCAATTTCCGTTTGTGACCAAGTAACATGCAACAGAGCAGGCTGAGTTAATCAACTGTGATTAGTTATTAGGTTGTGATCCTCAACTTTGAGATCATATACACTGGAATTAATGAGTATACAAATCATTGCAGGATATAGTTTTAACTAGAAAACACTGTCCCTCTTAATATAAGCACATGTCAGGTTATATTCTATATCCCGCTGTTTTTCTGTAAAATGTTTCTCATACTACACAGTTTGTTGTTCTTAGAGTACTGACTATATCTGGCAGTGCTTATGTTCCAATTAGGAAAGCAATTAACAGACCGACGCTTACCAGCAATAATGTCAGAGCTTATCAGATTCTCAGTTATTAGAGTTTTTTGGTCGTGGACCGATAAAAAAAGTAAAGAAAGTAATTTTCCATATCTTTTCTCTTATTTTTGTTTAGTTTCATTCTTGTAATAAGAGAACGGCACCTGTTCTCAACACCTATACTGTATATAATTCATTTCAGATGTGTGTGCTTTATAAAAATGAATATGTGTATGTTATGTTGCATTTATCAATTTTCCAATAATTTTAAATGACACGGATGTATAATTGATGACGTCCAAATAGTCCACTTATTAAGAATAAGTTACAGAAAAGTTATAAATAAACCAACGATATTAATATATCAGAGGGGCCTAATGAATCCACAATCAATTATGTTTTATTCTGAATGATTGAAACGATCAATGTGCTGCAAGCATTTTCTTTCAACTTTTTACATAAAGCATCCGAAGCATAGTAATTAGGTTTCGACTTATTACCTTTAAAGCTAGCTCTGATAAAAATAAAAAAAGTGTGGCTACTGAGATTTCAGGCGTTTAGATTGATAGAAGGTTACGGTAAACCATCCGCCAATCTTCGTTACATTTTACAGACGTAAATCATTTTGCATTTCTGGTAACAAAAGGCCTAGCATTCGATGTTGATGGAGAAATGAGTAGTTATCTGTAGTAATAAATATTCACAACGGTCCTATGATTTTTACCAATAGAGATTATTATGTGAGCAAAATTCTATCATTCCGTATAGTAAATAAGTCAATGATGGAGTAGAGAAAATTTGACCTGTAGTTTTGTCCTAAAGACAGAAAGTGAAGATTGTCCTTGATGAATTTCACAACGTCTATTAGTGAAATGTGCACAACAGAACTAACTAGACACAAAGGCGTCTGCATATCATGTATGAGACCCTAGTTCAAAGATCCTGACTTGTAGTTTCAAATAATTAAGATGAGGGCGTATCACATCTCTATTCCACATGAGTGCGTTGAAAACTGCTCTGTTCCCGATCCGATCTTACAACATGGATTGAAAAAAGTTGCCTTCTTTTGGATTTATATAGCCTATATACCCGAGTTCTAGTAGTTGCTTGAGTCAATTCTTCACTATTACAGATTTGTATTTATATATTTATCCGGTCGATGAAAGTTCAGAAATATTTTTCAAAAATTCAGTATCAAATTGCATTGGTTTGGAATATCAAATATACAGGAATATGGGTAAATACAAAATGTGAAAGCGTAGTACTTAGATCAAATGCAACGATTTCCCCATCTGTATTTTTCAATTAGATGCAACTTCAAGGAATCTCTCTTCGGATGCTATATTCGTATGAAACTTAAGACCAGCAGATTTTGTTTTGTGTGTAACATTATTGTCGCTCATCTAAGCAGTTGAAACCTGACTCCGTTTTGCTAGTACGTTGGTACTTACTGTAAAAGTACACCTCTGTACACTTATTACTACTACTACAAATAATAGTAATAATAATAATAATAATAATAATAATAATAATAATAATAATAATAATAATAATAATAACAATAATAATAATAATAATAATAATAATAATAATAAGCATAAGAATAACAGGCCGACAATAACACTAATACTGATGAAAGAAATTTATTTAATATTTAATAAGTACCTTATAATACATCTCAACTTCTTTAGAAATGGTCCTCCACATTCTTCAGGCGTCTTCAAACTAGATGCTTCATTGAAGAGAGGGTTAGATGTAGTAGTTAACGATTGTCCATTTGTGCCAATTATTTCTTCATGGGAGTCTAAGTGGAAATAAAAGTTCAAAAATCAATCTTTCGCAAAAAAAATAATTTGTATATAACGTAAATATAATCACCTTGTATTTTTGTTGTATTTTAATCATCACGCTATATTGCAAAACTGTGGTTTTATTTCACTTTCATTATTATAAATATTTTTGCTTAGTGTTTTAATGAGGCTGATGGAATGGTGATGAATAATGGTGCAGCTATTTCCATTTCCATTCTGGTAGGGAGTACGAACCACATGCTAACCATTCTCATCCGCACAATCCAAAAGTGTAACAATTATCTAATAAAACTCAGCACAAACGGTAGGCCTATATTACTTTTTCGAGCTAATAGACCAGGCGCGCCTTTTAACCAATCAGCGAGTTCGTGTAGATATGGCTTCGCGCTGCATCACCGCCAATTAAATCGAATTAAGTAAATATTAGTGTAAAGCTTAGTTTCCATACAATCGCTACACACCATCGCCGACAGCTTTCGATGACGCTGGTTGGTTGGTCATATCCGGGAGCCGATTGCTTAGGGGACTGATACGCTAGTGCAACGATTGCAGTAAAAAAAAAAAAACTGTAGCGATAGTGTAGCGATTTTAAGGAAACCAGGTTTTACAAACCTTTGTAAATAAAAGAGCAGCACTAATGTACCATGTTATTTATCTAAATTAACATTAATTTCCAAATCCATTGTGAAATATGACTATATTATAATAAAAGAGTGTGGGTGTTGGGCGCAGCCAGCGGAAATGGATTCAGCCTTGAATGGTTATAATTTTTTGGTTCAAAAACATGCAAACCTATATCATATCTTGATTGATACATTTTACTCTAATTGCCTCGTCCTTTGGATGAAACGCTAAGTCGTTAGTCTCGTGTAAAAAGTAATAGTTCTCTGTGGACGAAAATAACTCCTACACAATACAGAAGATTGTTTCATGGTGTGATGACCAATCCAAGCGCTGCCATGCGGTCGTGGGTGTGGGACTCGTGGTCCGTGATTGGATACACATAATAGCTTGACGATAGGCCTATCTATTTATTGAAATTATTTGACTTATACTGTCTATACATGAAATAATACAAATAGCAAGAATAATCAATTCTCTCTCCAGAAACCAGTAGGCACATTAAATATTGTGGAAAACGTTCGTAAAATACATTTTGCCTTCAAGTCTCTATTTACTCATATGCTTGTTTACCGTATGTTTACAAATTTTCCATGGCTATTTAACTCATTATTCCATGTGAAATATGGCCTTGAAGTTTGAAATACATACATATAGGCCTATGTACATACATATATATATATATATATATACATACATATATATACATTTACATATAGGCCTATATATACGCACATATACATATACACATATACATATACACATATAGGCCTACATATACATATAAACATATTATACATAAACATATTATACATATACACATATATACATATACACATATACATATACACACACACATATATATATATATACACATATATATATATACATATATATACATACATTATATATATATATATAT